TTATTTTTTCTGTCCTTTTCTTGCTCTCTTTTGGCAACGTTAAGGAGGAAGAGTTAGGAGGAAAAGCAGAAACTGCTGTAGTGGAGAAGAAGAAGGATGATGAAAGCGACGAAGAAGACTCGGATGATGAGGAGGATGCCAAAGCAAAGGACAAGAGCATGTCGAACAAGAAGAAGAAGGTGCGGTTTCTATATCTCTATTCTTTCTTGCTTCTTTGTTTGTCTCCTTTGTGTTGCACTGTTGAGTTCCACTCGGCTCACCTCACCTCATGTCTTACATGGCTATGCACGAAATGACAACCCACCTATGTTACCTGCGTTCGCGTTTCTTTCTTTCTTTTTTTCTTTTTTTAAGCACGGTTTGTTGTAGAGGTGGGATACTAGACGGATGGCGGTCACCCACAGTACTCAGCCACTCGGTTGTCCAGATGAACCCCTTCTGAAGACCCCACCCACCCATCCTCTCATCTTTTTGCCCCGGCGCACCACCCCCCCCCTGTCCTACCCCAGTGTTAACCACCCAGGACCATCACCCATTGCCATCTTGGCGGGGTGACTTGACCAGACAGCGGTTGCAGGCACCAGGGCTAAGCAGAGACTCCTACCCCCTGCTCAGCCCTGGTTGAAGCAGATGCCGTGCAAGCCTGATTGCACGGGGACTTCGGTTGCTAGGTATGAACATGCTACGACAGGTCTTCATGAGGGTGCACAGTGACTCCCATCTAGCTTAGTTGTGTGGTGATGATAGAGATCTGGGTATCCTCGGTTCCCTCGTATGTCCCTGGAGCCCGTTCCGGCCCCGCGGTACGGTGCAGTATTTCCTGACACCCCCGACATCCCGTACTACGGAACTGCTATGCCAGCCTCAACCCTATGCTACCTACTAGGAGGATAGCCAACCCTAGGTCATGAGTTATGGACTGAGTTTCTTTATGTTGTCTTACTACAGTGTTCTATGGTGTTGATGGTAGAGATGGGGATCCTCCGTTCCCTCGTATATCCCTGGAGCCTGTTCCGGCCCCATGGCAAGGTGCAGTATGTCCTGACACCCGCGACATCCTGTACTAAGGACTGCTATGCCAGCCTCAACTCTAAGCTACGTACTAGGAGGATAGCCCACACTCAGTCGTGAATCATGGACTGTATGTATTGACCCTGGATGATCTAATCTATGGTTGCATGAGTAAGGCCTGCTCCCGTGGTTTGGCTCATGACTAAGCTTACATGTAGTTGGGGTGGATGTGCCAGCTAATCCCGTTGAGAGACTAATAAGCATTTGGAGTAGACAGGCAGCGGGTGGATGAGTCGTGACAATCTTGCAAAACACACACACACACACACACACACACACACACACACACACACACACACACACACACACACACACACACACACACACACACACACACACAC